TGGTCCCAAACATTGGACCATCCGCGTGAAATATTAACGAAAGCTGGAGATGCTTGACTACGATTACTTGAGGACCAGTCCCTGAGTGAATCACGCCTACTTCGCCTTAGATGAAGCAGTCCGCTCTCGCTGTAACATCGCCAAAATGTCTAAAGCCATTCAAAAAAATGACTTAAGTGTTTTGAAAACTTAAATCGTCATCAATCTCGTGAGCTCGGTGTTGCTGCCCTCGATCTGGCACCGGTACCCAATTGTAGGCGTTGAGGGGGTCAAATCAAAGTCTGGTTCTACACAGTTCGTCAGGACATAAAAGATATTCTTAGACCTTCAGTATTTGGCTCCCATCGCTGGCGAGGAGGGTAGATAGAACCGTCCATATCTACTGCCGCGGATCGTCACGCGTGAAAGGGATAAGTCCGTCACCTCATCGAGGCATGCTAGATCAGGCATAGTCGCAGCCGTAACAAGTAAAAATGTCAGTTTTGGAGAGATACTCGCGGACAAACGGTGCCTGCTAGCGGTACTTAAATGAAAATTTCTAGCAGCCAAATATAAAATACTGACAAGTTGCCATCGCATTTCTAAAGATAAACGACAGCATGAGCCGAAGTTCTTGAACAGTACATTTGAGCCTTTTTCATGAAATTAGGCGCACGTTAGTAAATGTGATGGCAGGATTTGATGACTGTCCGAATGGTTGATAGGGTTGAAGGGTCCAGCAATAAGTGCAACGCTCCACGGGAATGGCAAGGCTTTTCAAAGTGTCTGAAGTTACTTGTGGCGGGAGCTGCGGTGGAAAAAAAAAGTATAATCGCGTAAGGAGGAAAATTGTTGGTGTCCATTTAAACAAAACCGCTGAGGCCCCCTGCCAGCAGCCTTTTCAGGTTCCCTCTCGTCAGCACACCCACGGCACGTCCCTACAGTTACCGATAAAGCTGTATTTCCCGGCGATGTTTAGCGGACATGTCGGTGCCACCTGCATATCTAGACGTATCACAGCACGCTGAATCTGAATTTATCTTCTTATACTTTAGAAGGTTGTAATATATCTCGAAATACTACTTTTCCTTGCACATACTTCACGTACGTCTGAATCTTCGTCTCACCTAAACATCTGTAAGTATGTGATGACCTATCCATTAAATCTTATTCAGTTACTTCGCCGTTGCAACCTATCACAAGCACACCAGTTTAGTTTTCATGAAAATTAATCAACACCCTCAGTCGCTACATTGATATATATTGACTGCAATGACCAACTCTGATAGCATAGAGGCGGTCACCTTTTAAAAATTCAAGGATGATCCAGAGTCGGTGTTCTCTGTTAATTGAGACAGCAGTAAAAGCGGCACATCGGGAGTGC